CTTCAAGACGACTGCCTCAGTGTCTTCATTCATGAGAGACCACCATACAGGCCTTCCTATCCTACACCATCTTCTGGAGTCCATTTAAGCTCACGCTGACTGCTTCAGTGACGTTCTCTGTCGTCCCCTTCTTTTGCCTTCAATCTTTCCCAGCATTAGGCTCTTCTCCAGTGAGTCCTTCCTTCTCATGAGGTGGCCAAAGTATTTGAGTTTCAACTTCAGGATCTGGCCTTCTAAAGAGCAGTCAGGGTGGATCTCCTCTAGGACTGACCGGTTGGATGGCCTTACAGTCCAAGGGACTTGCAGGAGTCTTCTCCAGCACCAGAGTTCAAAGGCCTCAATTCTTTGGCGCTCAGCCTTCCTTATGGTCCAACTTTCATAGCCATACGTTGCAACTGGGAAAACCATAGCCTTGACTATAGGCACTTTTGTTGGCAGGGTGATGTCTCTGCTTTTTAGTATGCTAAAAAGTTCATAAGTTGAGGACTACCTATACAGAATAACAGCGTTGGAAGGGACCTTAGAGGTCTTCTAATCCAGCCCCCTGCTCAAGCAGGAGACTGCCCAGAGTTGCTGGGAATCAGACAGCACGTGTTTAATTAGTTAATATATTTAGTCACATATCATGCAGTAGACACAACATTAAGAATGATGTATTTGAGAGGAAGAAGAGGCAATATTTCACACATACTTTGTCCCTATGGGATGGCTTTTTAGTTTAAAATGGCCTTGCCCCCCAGTCTTCCTCTTAGTATCTTCTCCTAACTTTCATTAACAATCTTGCCTTTCTTAGTGTTTTATGGCCGAGCTGACAAGGTTTATTGCTTCGGTTCCTAGGAAGAAAAGGGATGAAGGTTTTGAAAAAACTATTCAGATACTGTCAATAGTTTTCTCTGAACAACTTTATGGAAGCGAAAGTTGGAGAAGCAGGATAGAAAGAATATTGTTGCTTTTCAATTTTGATGTTGGAGAGGATTCTTGAAAGAAAACCAACATATGGATCACCAGAAGAAATCAACCCACTGGGTTATTTAGTTTGTATGCCATTTATCTTACTGATGCATCAACTCTGGGTGGCTTACAATACCTACTTGGGGCATAAAACGACCAGATTTCATCGTGTTTGAGGAAAAGTATTCAGACTGAACTCCACTGATAAATCCGTAAGACTCTGAATGATGGAAGGAAAATGAGGAATAATAACAGGGAAGCTTTGGCCTCCCCAGAGTGGCAGTTGTGGGAGGAAGGAAGGTAGATGGCTTTTATTACAGCAGGAATGAATACACCGTCGGGAGACCTAAAGAAGCAGGTATTCTGGACAAGTTTTGTCTGGGTGATTGGTAACAGTTGGCCCTCCTTTAATGGCCCATCAACCAACAATGATTTATTGCAGAATTCTACTCATTGCAGAATACCTTATGCCACCAGACTTGAAATTCTAGACCTAGAACTACGCCGCCTTCGGTCCAGAGGTGGGTATTCAGCAGGTTCTGACCAGTTCTGGAGAACCGGTAGCAGAAATTTTGAGTAGTTTGGAGAACCAGCAAATACCATCTCTGACTGGAGATTTTACAGTCTCCTTCCCCTGCCACGCCCACCAAGCCACGCCCACAGAACCGGTAGTAAAAAAATTTGAATCCCACCACTGCTTCGGTCCGATCTAAGTACAGTATATAAAATCATACATTGCAATGTCTTACCTGTCAATGAATACTTCAGCTTCAACCATAACAATACAAGAGCAAACAATAGATACAAACTCAAGTTTAATTGCACCAAACTTGATTGCAGGAAATACAACTTCAGCAACAGAGTGGTCAATGTCTGGAATACTCTACCTGACTCTGTGGCTTCTTCCCCAAACCCTAAAAACTTTAACCTTAAGACTGTCAACTGACCTCACCCCTTTCCTAAGAGGTCTGTAGGGGGCGTGCATAAGTGCACCAATGTGCCTACCGTCCCTGTCCTATTGTTTCTTTTATTTTTCTTATATGTATCCATGTATTCATAACTATGTTTATATTTATACCTATTATTTTGTAAGCAATTGACAAATAAAATAAAATAAAAATAAATAAATAAAAAATAAATTTATGTGATGGAGCAGTTCAAACAGCACCGTTTCCTCAGCAATGACACAGCAGTAGTTTCCACAGCTGAATTTAGACATATTGTTTAAACTTCCCAGTCTAGCATTGCTTTGGCCCAGACAAGTATGAGAAAAAGTTTCAGGCAATAAACACACAGAATAAAAATCTGAAATAATTTATTCCACAAAGCAATTATACATTTTTTGCTGCACATTATAATGTAGACAAGTTACAGATAAGGGAATAAAATAATTAGTTATATTCAGGGAAGGAGTATGTCCAAGAAAAACAATACAAAGCCAAATATGGACTCATTTAATAAAAATGCAGTTAAAAACACTATATGTCATCATTTTATTTGTATATATATGTATATATATATGTTTTCATAGATTTTCATGGGTACAGGTATGCAGGTCTTGGCATGTTCGGGTCTTTTCCCGTGTAAGGTTGAGAGCATCTTGGCAACGTTTCGACGAGGTCCCACTTGCCATCTTCAGGCTGGTGCTTTCGGCTTCGTGCTTGTGCGAGCAAAGCGTGATCAGAGCTGCCGTCTCCCTATATATACTGGTGGGGAG